CATACCAGTGGTTGCGTAAGATAGTCTGTCGCAGCATTAAATGTGTGTTCTACGTGTGAAAGAGTTTGGCATTCATATATCAATTCTTCACAGCCAATAGACTAGGTTTTGTTAATAATTGCCACAGATGCATTATCTACATACGCCTTAATTCTCACGTCGAGTTTAGTAGTCGTCCCACCGGAGTATGAGAGTGACAGGAATTAGAGAGTGCACTTGTGTCGGCGCGTACACTTGTGCACTATAAAATCTCCTGTGTTGATGGCTAGTCTCAATGAGATTGGCCGCCGTGACCGAAATCGGTCGGGAGGACATTATTATCTAAATTTAAGTTAAAACTGAATAAGATCGAAGATGATACTATATCAGATACTATAGATCACGTAAAACCTTCGCATCCTGCACCTGATCTCTAACCAGTCGGGTCGAATTACTGTTCCACCAGAGCTTGTGAGTGGCAAGAATACATACAATAACGTCTTCTGCGCATATGGTTAGTAGGAGTAGATGGATATATTAAGTATATTCAAACCCGCGGTCCGACTTGAAGACATCTACTCTGGCGAGGAGGTTGATTCCCTTACAAGGGGTTTATCAACAAAAATAATAAAACCTCCGTACTCTGTTTTTTATCTTTTTTGAGATGAGAGCTACATAGTGGTTCTAAAAGCCAAAATAATTAGACAAACACCTGCATAGTCAATATAAATTACTACTAATGATAACATTTGACTCACACTGGGTATCGAATCTGAAACCTTGTGAAATATTCAATGTCCTATTGGACATATTATTTCAAAACACGAGAAGAACCGCATAGGTATTTAGTAAACAAGTCCACAATAAATCATTATGTATTCTTTATATGACTGTTGATATATCAGGTGCAGGATTGATAGCTTTAACACAGCTGTAAATACCACCAATTTCCTACCTCTTCGTTTCTACAAAGCATTTCTGAAATGAAGAAAAACCTTGAAGAGTAAGCCTTGAAGACCAAGAAATTACTATTTTTGCAAGATCTGGGCCTTGAACTCTGGTCCTTACAATTTACAACCGTACATGCTATCCACTAAACTAGACTAAAATCACTTCTAATATAAATAAGTAAATTTTGTTATTTCTTATTTTACATATGTATTACAATATGTAATTCATCTTCAATCATTGCTTAAGTACTTTGGCTATTTTTCAATTTAATTATCCTTTAAACTATGTATGTATAAGTCTAATATTTATTGCAGGCTTTAAATATAAAATGGCTTTAATTCATTATTGTAATATAAGTTTGCATGTAAAAGTATTTAAATTGGATTTACCCAATATGTAACATATAGGTATAATGTTATATATTGGGTAAGGACGCTAATAAGTTTTTCTTAGAATCCACTAATAGTTAATAACAATCGTTTGACGTTGACAATAATTTAGAAAAGTGACACATTTTATATTATATACCTTTTTAAATACTTTGTTGTACATTTATTTATATACAAAATATTAATATGTAGATCTATATATGTACTAGCTTACCCGCGGCTCCGCCCGCGTTCAGATGACCAAAAACCAAATTCTTAGGTTTACATATTAGTATACTCTTACAATGCAGTTTTTGTATTTTTTCTCAAAAATGAGACATTTTCCTGCAGTAAAAAGTATCTTTTATGTTGACCCGGATAACCAGCTATCACTATACCAAATTTCATCAATATCCCTCTAGTGGTTTCTCTGTGATGCGGTAACAGACAGATAGACAGACAAAAATTCGAAAAACTATAGATTCGGAATCTGTAGCAAGTTTGTAGTAATAATGTTTATTTCAATAAGATTTTCCAAAAAAATATCTAATGTACCTACAGATTCGGTTCAGTTATTATTTTACTATATTTATAAATAGATAAATAGGCAAAGGCAAAACCGCTCAGTACCTTTTTTCTTTGTCGATTATTTTTTGTTTAGTAGCTATTGACAAATTTAGTGCTTCAATAAAAAAAAAATGGAAACAGTTTTTCTCATATAAATAGATAATTTCTATTTACATATGATTTCCTTAAATTTTCAACAATTATTAGCATAGATGTTCAAAAAATAAAAATCAGTCAAGTGCGAGTTGGATTAGCGCATCAAATTTTTTCCACCTTCGCAACAATGTCTTGTACCTACTGAATAGCAATTTAAATCCGTTTCACACTTAGCCAATTTAATCACATACTTATAACGCTTATTTATGATATACTAAAACAATTTATAAAGTTATTTTTGTTTGGGGATCTCCCTCAGTTATCTTTGTAATCATATGTCTATGTGAATGTTAATTTAGCAGGTAAACGAGATAACCGTTTGATTTTCCTACGCAAAACCTTCAAAATTAACATGTAAGACTTGAAGATGACTTCATTATAGGATTCAAATGACAAGAAATTGGTTTCAATTAAAACGGTACGCATAACAAAGTTTTATATTAATTTATTTTTGTAGTATTTTTCACATACATTTTTAATTATTATAACAATTGTGCAAGATGGAAACGAGATGACGTAGAAATATAAAATTATGCAGTCGGATATATATGTACATAATATGTATATTACTCGTTGTGAGTCCTTACTATATAACTGTATGTCGGGTTTTCTGTGATGTAATTAATATTTTTATTTACAACTTTTTAGTTTTATTTTATTCATGTATTGTTATTATCTGTTTTTTAATATGAATAAAATAAAAAAGTAAGTAATATGTAAATATATATATATATATATATATATATATATTATATATATATATATATATATATATATATATATTTGTTCTAACTACAACTTTCTTTTGACTGTTCTTTTGACTAAATAGGTTTTATATATTTTTGTTATCGCCTATTTATTGGATACTCGATAGATTCAAAACATTTTTTTTAAGCTGACACCAAAAATCCGCCACTTTCATCTCTATGACACTTGCGGTATCAAGACGAATCTATTGACGTATAATTAATTTGTCAAAGTTTGTTCACTATTGGGTCAGACATATATTTAACGTTTGCCTGTTAATGGATATGTTTGTACATCTTCGTGCTAAGTAGGTATGTATAAATTTAGTTAAATTAAATACGTAAAATAAATACAATAACATTAATTTGCTTAAAATAAAAAATAAAACACTTTCTGAAAAAAAATACATCTTAAGCTGGCAGAATCATTTTTAGTGGGATCCATTTACACAATTTCACTGCTTTTGGCTGACAATAAATTAATTTTATAGTACTTCCTTCATAATTTCAATAACATATCAGATTACTTAAATATAAACGCGAAAGATAGTATCTGTGTTTATTTGTTACTCCTTACGTAGAAACAGCTGGAAGGATTTGAAGGAGGTGCAGAAATATCACATAAGTAATTTATTCTGCAGTGACTAATAACTACAATATATCGTGCATTGCTAATCACGCATGATATTGGGATAAGCTCCTTAACCTAACTTAAATAAAATACATGAACAATAAAACAGAGGTTTCATCTCAAGATATTCATGTCAATTGTATTAATTTTCTAGATTCTTTCAAGAAACATTATTTTAATGAATCATTAAAAGTGGTTGTTGCAAATATTACTTTACTTTGACTACACATTTGGCTCAGTTTATAGTGACCCTACTTGCTGTGCCAGCGGTCGTGGGTACGAGTCCCCCTGGGGGCATTCATTTGTGTGATGAGCACGAATGTTTGTACTCCAGTAATGGGTGTTTATATTTATAATATCTATGTATTTAGAGTTATATATATGTACTGTATTGACTATCTGGTATCCATAACACAGACCTCGTAGCTTAGCATGGAACTGGATGGTGCTGTGGTTTAATGTACCAAGATATATACATATTATTAAAAAGAAGTAGCACAATCATTGTGTTGTGCTACCACTACTAAACTTAAGGGAGATTATCAAATAGGTATTATCCTTCCTGTCTTCTTCACTCCATTAGATATTTTTAAAGTTAACTGTGTTGAAGTGACACGCCTTTAAGCAGTTAAAAAAATACGAATATTGTGACAATACAACTGTATTAGTAAAAGTTAGCAACTAGTTCAACAAGACCGTCATTTACGGGTCCTGATAATCTACATGCAGTTTTCCTTAATAACTATAGGAAATTGATATAATTTCTTTAGAGCTTATGTCAAATTTCATATTTAAAACAAAATCGCGCTTATACAAACATCTATAAATTCAAAAATAATAATAATCTATACATAAAATAAAATTGTAACCATGGCGAATCTGTACATTAAATATTTTTTGGAAAACCTTATTGAAATAGACATTATTATCGATACAGAGGCCGAATCTATAGTTTTTAGAATTTTTGTCTGTCCGTCTGTTTATCTGTCTGTGAAAGAAAAAGTGAAAAAAATACCACTGGACAGATTTAGATTAGTAGTAATATGTGGAGAGTGAACTTTTAAGTATATTATGCGTATGGAGGGTTATAAGCTTTTACATAGTAAAAGTTTATATGAAGAACTGCATAAATGCAAAATTTATTGTCTTGTGCAAAACTTATTGTCTATTTTCACCCAAGGTTTCGTACACTTAGTCAATTTGCTTTATACCCTATCTTTAAAGTCCTTCATCTATTTATAATAACATATAAAACTGAAGTATTTGATTTGTCTGCACGTGCTAAAAAATCTATAGAACTTAGCTAAAATCAAAATCTCTTTGTATTTTATAGTCTGTTTATTCAGAAAGGTTGAACTTCCTAAGGCTACCTATTTAAGTTTGTCAAAAAAAACTAAAAATTGTGGTCGTTTTTGACCTCGGGATGACATTAAATAGTTTTTGAAAAATTATGTAACGATGATCCCTAAGGATGATTCACTTTCAATTAATTTTTAAACTCGACCACGAGATGTTAACATGACTCATTCTCTCATATATATGCAGAAGAACATTTTCACTCACACCTCAGTGTGAATACAGCTTCCAAAGCAGTAGATCAAAATGAAGTTCTACGTTTTATTATGTACTATGTTATACATTTCTATTATTGCTATTAATGCATTATCAATTGCTAAAATTGATAAAACTGTAACAGTTAATGAATTAAGTCAAAGTGTATTCGAACTAAATACGGAAGATATTATTTCGAAGGAGAGAACTAGAAGGAGTGTAATAAGTGATGGGAAATGTCCTTTGGGCTATAAAAGACTCTCATCGCATATGTTATGTGTAACTTGTGAAAGGTAAGTTTTTAACTATGTGTTTTTTAATTCTACAATCTTTAAGGAATAGAATTAAAAAAAAAGACTTATTGAACCCTGCTAAGCACGATTCTGGACTTCACTAAGAGGAGGTATCAGACCATAGGTTCGATCTTTTCCTTCGCTGTGAGGCAAATATAATTACGTTATTAATAATTCGCAGAGGATATTATCAGAGATACAAAACCCGGGTCTTGAACCCGCTTCACATGGTTTGCCAAGCGAGCGTTATCACTGGGCTACCACCTTAAAACATATTATATAAGAACGGTATATTATTTCAATACAAATTTACTAATTTGAATTCTTTAAAGATTATAAAGTAACATCTTGGGTAAGACTCAATGTCATCTTTTCATCTATTTATCATTAAATTTATGGCTAAAAAGTAAAAACATAAATCTTTGAAATTCGATATCTCAAATATCCGCATACTGTAATTAACCTTTTAAAAGCGAATAGGTATTTATATTTAAACTAGCTTGCCTGCGGCTCCGCCCGCGTTCAGATGACCAAAAACCAAATTATTAGGTTTTACATATTAGTATACTCTTACATTGCAGTTTTTGTATTTTTTCTCAGAAATGAGATATTTTGCCGCGGTAAAAAGTATCCTATATGTTGACCCGGATAACCAGCTATCACCAAACCAAATTTCATCAAGATACCTCCAGTGGTTTTTCCGTGATGCTAACAGATAGACAGACAGATAGACAAACAGACAGACAAAAAATCTAAAAACTATAGATTCGGCCTCTGTATCGATTATAATGTTTATCTCAATAAGATTTTCCAAAAATATTAATGTACAGATTCGGCTTAGTTACAATTTTATTTTATGTATTGATTATTATTATTTTTTAATTTATAGATGTTTGTATAAGCGCGATTTTGTTTTAAATATGAAATTTGACATAAGCTCTAAAGAAATTATATCAAATTCCTAGATATATTGTTTACATACAGAGATTTCAAATAAGACATTTATATTATGTAAAAAAAAATGTGTAACGAGTCTATGACTAAAAATAAATTAGTAACAAGTGACTTTAATTAATACAAATTTTGTGGGTACCTACTGTCTGTAAATTCTATGTAATTACTTTTGAGATATCCTATCTTTCCTTGACTATGTTTTCTGTAAAGCATTAGAAACGCCGGGAATAAAAATGTAAAATACTAGCGTCACGTTTTAACGTTTAGTATAGATTTCTCAGAGATGAGAGATTTTACTGCAGTAAAAAGTTTCCTATATGTTGACCCGGATAATCAGCTATTATCATACCAAATTTCATTAAGATCTGTCCTGTAGTTGTATCGTGATACTTCCAGACATATAGACAAAAATTCTAAAAACTATATCTTCGACCTCTGTATCGATAATAATGACTATTTCAATAAGATTTTCAAAAATATATTTAATGTACAGATTCGACTCAGGTAGAATTTTATTATACACGTATATATAGAAAACCGCGACAAAGTGCGAAAAAATAGTTTTATTTATAATTTAAAAAGTGATTTAATACCATCGATATAATTGTACATATAGATCGCTGCTTAATACAGAAGCATCTGAGTCTTCGTGAGCTATAATTTAAAAAGATTTCAATTCTAATTTCTTGCATACTTTGTGATAGGTATAGTGACAAAGGATTTTTGAAAATTCCAAATTTGAAAATTGATTTAAATGAAATGAAATTTGTAGAATTTTGTAGGTAGTAACCCACAAACCTACTTAGCACAAGATTCAATTTGGCCAATACGATACTTGAGATACCTGTAAATATAACGGTAACTTATTACTCAACATTTACTTCGAGTCCCTTTGCTGATGTGTTGTCTTGTTTTAAAACCACGCATAATAAATTAAAGACACAGGACATATGTAAATAGATCAATAGTTTTCTATAGATCTGGAAGTCCTGGGTTTGATTTCCGAGTCGAGACAGTTCGGGTTTTCTGTCAAAAAAATCTTCGAAAGCTTGCAAATATTGTGATATCTTGTTTGTTGTAGGTTCAGATCATACAATTAATTGCTCATATTTTATCTGTAAAGAGATCTCAGTGTATCTCTTTTATTATTCGGTTAATACGTTATCTACACCGTGTCTTCTCCATACTACACGACATTGGCGAAGTAATCTGTGCCCAACTGACACGCCTAAAAGCTAAATAACAAAAAATTGAATACCCTCGTGACTTCGAGAGTAAAGACTCTGTTCTTGTGAGATTGTCCTCCCATAGGTCCTTGAAAATGATAGAAACAGGGAATGCACATTACCATTGTCACCATAACATCGGTTGCCGTGAAAATTTTCGGTCAAGAGGCGTGATTTTTTGTGTGTAAATAGTTGGAGAGCTGAAAAGTGACATATGCTTCTTCATACCAGAGGAGATTACCTTATTCCCACGGAAAACACGTTATTGTACAACCCAAAAAAATATTTATGATTAGAATTACCTACTGTAAACTTGGTGATAATGCTCTTCAATACAAATAAATAAATACGTGATTTAGCATTTTTCGAAATACATCCCATGAGAGGGTAAAATAGTGGATGAAAGTTTGTATGAAACCTATTTTTTTAGAGTTTTTTTGTAGTTTTAGCGCGAGTAAAGTCGCGGATTCTGCTAGTATTTAATAATCAGCAAATGTTGCGATTTAAAGAGACAGGTTCCAAAAATGATTAAAACAAAACACCTAACTAGAATGATGTAAAAAAACCTTAATTGATCACAAAATTATCATTCTTTTTGTCAAATCAACTCTACAAAGTAGTAGCGGCAAACATGCAAATAATTTTATAAAATTTTATCCTTCACAAAAATATCGAAAATGACCAAAAATATTATCTAGTATATGGATTATATAGTATATTCTACAAAATTATTAGATAGATAAGAAAAAATCGTGATTAAAACGGTATGACTCATAGGTCTCATACGCTGTCGTGTATAGGTATAATACGTAGTTTTCTTCCTCACACCTCAGTATCGTTAAAACCTGCAAGGCGATAAGTCAAGATGAAGTGTTTTTATATATTATGTGCAATTTTATGCATTTATATTTTCACAATAAACGCTTCGCCAATATCTAATATTAATGAAGTCGAAAAGTTCAATGAATTGGACCACAGTGTGTTTAAGCCAAGAACTGACGGAATATTTGTTTCGAAAAGAACTAAAAGAAGTGCTATACGTGATGGAAAATGCCCTATAGGATATAAAACAATATTTCTCTCTAAACAAGTGCTGTGTATTCCTTGTAAACGGTAAGATTTACAATATTTACTAATATTTGCCTGTGGTTCCGTTTGCAAAATAAAGTGATAAGAAAACTTTCGCTATTTTAGGATAGTGTACAGTGTAGAAATATTTTTTTTTCTAGGTAACAGTACTAAAATATTGTAACCTAATATTATAACGATCTAGCCAACAAGGCTAATGAGTAATTTAACTTTAACTTAGTTTTATAAAATAAAATATCTAAGAATGTGTCCAATGGCACTTTTCTTAAAGTCTCTATTTAAGGCGAAGACACTTTGTTCTTGTGTTCTATATTGGTAGCACTATATTATTATTACTTTCACTACATTACACTATTTTTTTAACACTACACTAACTCAAGAGGCTTAGTTCTTTTGAGCCTCCTCACTATGTCAGTGTTGTCGAGGAGCTGGATTGCCTCGATATTCACATGTTTATGAAGTCTTTGCTCGTGAGCTTCTGCGTATTTTTTTATCACTTTATCGACAATCTCTATGTTGAGGTCCCGATGGAGATCGTCATTACTTACGTACCAGAGTGCATTAATTATTCCCCTGAGAACTTTATTTTGGAATCGTTGGATGATAAGAACATTACTCTCTTTGGTACAGCCCCACAGCTGTATGCCATAGGTCCACACTGGCATCAGGACTTGTTTATATAATAATATTTTGTTGTGTACGGACAGAGAGGAATGTTGTCCCAACAGCCAATACATCTTTTTGTACCGAAAACCCTTTTTTTTCTTAACGTGAGCTTTCCAGCGTAGCATCGCGTCAAGCGTCATTCCTAAACACTTTGCTGTATTTTCATATGGTATGATGTTATTGTTAATAAATATCGGATGGTAATCTTCTTTTTTGTTCGTGAAGTTTATATGAATCGATTTTGATTCATTTAACTTTATTCTCCATTGTAATGTCCAGTAATGGATTTTATTAACCGCTATTTGAACCTTTTCAACTGCTTCTGCGTGAGAATTTCCAACCGCCATTATGGCAGTGTCATCAGCAAAGTTCGCGATGGTATTATTTTCTAATTCGGGGATATCATTGGTGTATAAAAGGTACAGGACCCAATACGCTTCCTTGTGGCACCCCAGCTGATGCTTTTAATTTCAGAGGCATCTTCGTGCCTTATTATAAATACTCTGTCTGATATATACGATTCTAGTTTATCCGAATATGACTTAGGTAGCATTTTTCTTAGTTTTAGTACAAGACCATCATGCCACACTTTATCAAATGCCTGTGCGACGTCTAGAAAGAAGTAGAGCAGAATTGTTTTTCCTCTAGAGTTTTCTCGATGATATTTGTGATTTTATATATAAGTCCCTTGGTTTCTAATATTGGTTTTATCCTCTTTAGTAAAAGTTTTTCAAATAATTTGGACAGTATAGGTAATAGGAAAATTGGGTGGTATGATGTTATCTCATTAGGCGGTTTTCCTGCTTTCGGTAGAAATATGAGAATCATTAATTAATAAGATTTGGTTTAGTAGTTCCGATGATACAAACGTAAAAACAAATAAAATTCAGTGATATCTGAGGGGCGAAACCCAAGATATGACACCACATATGAACTCGTTCTTAGTTTTTCAAGCAAGCGTGCTACCACTGTGCTACTACTACCTACTATAAATAATAATTAAAATAATAAAATATAACCTAAAATAGTTTGTTGATTCCTTAAATTATTACGCATTATATATTATTCAAAATTTTAATATTTTCATATCACGAGTTTTATATTTTATCATTCTAATTCTTTATATAGTATTATTTCACTTAAAGATTTATATATTTAAAGTTTTTTTTATATAAATATGTTGGGACATTAATACACATCACCATCTACTCCTAGTTCCATGGTAAGCATGTACGGTTGTATACCAGATAGTTGATATTCTACACATAATATGTATATATCTTTAGATACATACATAATAATATAAGTACAAATATAAATATAAGCACCCATGACTGGAGTATAAATATTCGTGTTCATTACACAAGTGAATGCCCCCAGCGGGACTCGAACCCGCGGCCGCTGGCAATTATTTCACTTTTTACACTTTTTTTTCTTCCCAAAATTTGCACTATTACAAACAAGGTTATGGAAACGGGTATACATATTTTTATAGTTTTTTGGTAAAATATTGGCGCTAGATATATACATACATATGTTTAACCAAAATCAAATATGTATTTAAAAAATAAATGTCAATATACCAATAGCAAATATAAATAACAATATATACATTTATTAGAGACTAAATAACAGACAATAAAACATTTTCTCACATAATAAAAATCTGAGTTGAATCTGTACGTCAAATATTTTTTAGAAAATCTTATTGAAATAGTCATAATTATCGATACAGAGGCCGTATCTATAGTTTTTAGAATTTTTGTCTGTCTGTTTTTCTGGGAACGCATCACGAGAAAATCACTGGACAGATTTACTGATAATTTAATTTAATGTCTAAAATACTAGTTTTGACCGCGGATTAGCGCATGTGAGTTTACTCAAATCAGATACGCTTATAGCGTAAAGAAGGAATAAACCGATAAACTTTCACATTCATTATACTCGCGTCATAATACATTATGGTTATAAAAATGTATTAAAAAGAAATTGTATTAAAAATCGATTGATATAAATAAAGAAAACGATAGAATCGATATGACTCATATGCTTTCGCGTATATATGTATATATTATGTAGACATCTTAGTCAGCCTTCAGTGTCTTTAAAACTTGCAACACGTAAAGATGAAGCGTAATCTTATTCGTGCTATTTTGTTTATTTGTGTTTTCTCGATAGCCTTATCGATGGCTCAAATTAGTGAAATTGAAAGGGTTAATATTTTAGCCACCAGTGTAATTGAGTCAAAAAGTGAAATATCAATTTTTATGAAAAAAATAACTAAAAGAAGTACTATAGATGATAAAATGAAGTGCCCTATAGGTTATATGAGATTAATAAGATGTGTGCCTTGCAAAATGTAAGTTTTTACATAGGTACATGTCGCTACTTGTAATAAATCATGTAATGTAATGATAAAAATTGATAACAAACTGATAAGTGTAATAATAACAATAAAGAGAAGAAAATATTTTTTAAGAAATAATTTAAAAGAAATAATTCTTATGCATTTTTATCCTACTAATATTATAAATGCGAAAGTTTGTGTGGATGTATGGATGTTTGTAACTCTTTTACGCAAAAACTACAGAATGGATTTTAATGAAAAGTTACAATTATATAGCTCATACATTAAATTAATACATATTTTCCAGAGGCGAATTCATAGCGGTGAGCTGCTAGTATAGAATTTTTTTTTATGGTACTCAGTGATAAACGAGCAGACAGACCACCTGATGGAAAGTGGTACCTGTCATAACACCTACGGTTCATGCACTTAGGTTTTACGTAAAAAAACTGCAGTACCGCCGCGCCGGTACGTGATTACTGTGAGGACTAAGATAATACTATGCCTCTTACCTGTAATTGCGCTGGCTACCTTATCCTTCAAACCGGAACACAACAATGTAATCATTGTTGTTTGGCGGGAGAAATAGATAAGGGGTGGTACCCATCCAGTCGGACTCTTCAGACTTAATAGAGTCTTACCACCTTCACGTTTCATCCTTGCCGCGAGATGTACATACTCGTATGTATGTCTCCGACTGTATAATACTATATTAGTCCGTGAACTTGTTTTCATCTTTTTAGTTAGCTTTTATGCAGTCGGGTTTTTTATTTTTATAATATATTTATTTATTTACAAGTTTCTAAGTATTTTTAAGTAGAAAAATTAGCAAGAATAGTTGTTGACCAACTTTAATTCATTATATATCCTAAACTGGTATTTAAAATGAAAACTGATGAAAGAAACCTAAAAATGATTTTTAAATACCTATTCAACAATACCCCACTTGACATAGTTCGTCGATTTCCATATTTTTCTTTTTCACATTATGGAATCTAGCAGCCCCCATTTTTTTAATGCCATCTATCTAAGAATACTTGGACTAAAGAGATGAATTTAACGATACCTTAATTAAAGAAATCTATCGAGTGGTTTGGAAGATGTGAGGGAATAAAGAATATTGCAAACATACAAAGATAGGCGCGAAAAACATAACCCTTTTCTTGCCGTCGGGTAAATAGGTAGGTTACATACAATCTTTTATTCCATATTTTACCCCCCTTTGGTTCGAAAAATGCTAAAATACGTATTTATTTAATTGTTTTGAAGAGTATTAATACCAAGTTTCGAGTAATTCTGGTCATAAATAATAGTTCGACCACATAAATTTTATCACCCCGTTTTACCCTTTTAAGGGAAGAATGACAGAGATTCATACAATCTTTTAACCCCTTAAGGGATAAATTTCGAGAAATTCTTTCTTAATGGATGCTTACATTGTATGAGGAATATGTCCTCCAAATTTCACGTTTCTACGACCAGCGGCTTAGGCTGTGCGTTGATCGATCAGTCAAAGCATTTTATGTATATATGTATAGATAAAAAGCAATTGATTAAAAACAGTTCTAACTCGTAGTATGTCTGTATAAAAGTGGCATTAAAAAATGTATACAAAACACGTTTTACAAGGACATTATTGTGGAACTAATTACATACATACGACATATCCTCCTTCTAAAGTACATGTCTTTTATATATAAATAGTCTTGACCCTTATAATGTAAAACTTAGAATAGTATTTTTGTTGCATACGTTTTTTTACATTCTTTTCTCCATGTCCGAATTCATTTCCTCGAGGGTTATAGTTTAAGTTATATCTTTTTAAAGGTTGTTTTTCTGTATGTTATGTTTGTTACTCCGTCAAGCTCGAACAGCTGGATGGATTTGAATGATACACAGATAGACTTATGACCTAGAGTAACACATACAATACGGTGAGTTACAAAATTTGCCAAAAGATGGAGCTACCTGTTTATATTTAAGTATACAAATAAAATTGAAGTGTCTGTGA